ATTAGTATTGTAGTAGTGTAGTAGTGCTAGCAGCATCCCGTGTTTAGTAGTAGTAGTAGTCAGTAGTATTATAGCAGTAAACAGTAGTGCTGAAGCTAGTAGAGTAGTAGTAGTAGTAGTACTAGTAGCAACTGGTAGTCATAGTTGCAGCAGTAGTCGTAGTCGTAGTCGTAGCAGTAGTAGTAATGTATTAGTTAGTTAGTCGTCCGTATCGTAGATCGTAGACGTATCGTAGTCGTAGTCGGAGTCCGTAGTAGTAAGAGTCGTAGTAGTAGTAATTAGTATAGTTTGTAGTAGTAGTAAGTATTAGTAGTAGTAGTAGTAGTAGTAGTGTAGTGTAGTAGTAGTGGCGGTAGTGGCGTAGTATAGTGGAATAGAAGTAGTAGTAAAGTAGTGTAGTAGTAGTGGTGATTGTAGCCGTAGTAAAGGTGGTGGCGTTATAATAGTAGTAGTAGTAGTAGTAGTAGGCGTTGTCGTAGTAGTAGTAGTAGTAGTAGTAGTAGTCGTCGTCTTCATCGTGGTAGTCGTAGTGGTAGTAATAGTATCAATAGTAGTCGTCGTAATAGTTATTATAATAATAGTAGTAGTAGTAGTAGTAGTAGTAGTAGTAGTAGAAGTAGTAGTAGTAGTAGTAGTAGTAGTAGTAGTAGTAGTAGTAGTAGTAGTAGTAGTACTCGTAACAAGTGGCCCGCGTGCCATGGCTCTTGCACAGGAAGGACGGGGGAGCAGGCGGAGGGGGCGCGCTGGCTAGTGTCGGTGCCGTGCAGAAGTAAAAATGTTTGGGCGGAGGGGGCGCGTTGGCTGGTGGATGGGGGGATGCACGGGGTGGCGCCCGGGGTGGGGGAGGCGGTGCCGTGCCGAGATAATTCGTTCAGGGCGAAGGGGGCGGTGTCGCGCCAAAACAGAAGGGTCGGGGCGGAGGGGGCGAGCTGGCTATCGGGTGGGGGGGTGCGGAGGGGGCGCGGGCGGAGGGGGCGCGCTGGCTGGCGGGTGGGAGGATGCGGAGGGCCCCTAGCCGAGGGTCGGGGCGGGGCGGGGCCGTGCCAAAAGAAAGGGGTGGGGGCAGAGGGGGCGCGCTGGCTTGTAGGTGGGGGATGCCGAAGAGGCGAGCGGGATGCGTGACGTGCCGAAATAAAGGGGCCGGAGCGGAGGGGCGCTCTGGCTTGCGGGTGGGAGCATGCAGAGGGGGCGCGCGAGATGGCAGGGGGGCGGTGCCGTGCCGAAAAAGAGCGGTCGGGACGGAGGGGGCGCGTTGGCTTGTGCGTGGGATGATGCAGAGGGGGCGCGCGCGATGGGGGGGCATAAGTCGGGGCGGAGGTGGCGCGCTGGCTGGCGGGGATGGGTGATGTGGAAGGGGCGTGCGGGATGGGAGGGGGGCGGTGCCGTGCCGAAAGGAAAAGGGTGCGGGCGGCGGGGGCGGTGCCATGTCGAAATAAAGGCATCGGGGCGGAGGGGGCGTGCCGGCTGGCGGATGGGGGGATGCGGAGGGGGCGCGGGCCGAAGTGGGCGCGCTGGCTGGTAGGTGGGAGGATGCGGAGGGTTTATAGTCAGGGGGGCGCGCGCTGGCTGGTCGGTGTGGGGCTGCGGAAGATGCGCGCAGGAAGGGGGGGCGGTGCCGTGCCGATATGAAGCGGTCGTGGAGGAGGGGGCGCTCTGGCTGGTGGGTGGGGGATGCGGCGGGAGCGCGCGGGATGGGACGGGGGCGGTGCCGTGCCGAACTAAAGGGGTCGGGGCGGAGGGGGCGCGCTGGCTGGTGGGTGGGTGATGGAGGTGGCGCTCGGGATGGGGGAGGCGGTGTCGTGCCGAAATAGAAGGGTCGGGGCAGAGGGAACGCACTGGCTGGTGGGCGGGGCGATGCAGAGGGGGCGTTCGGGATGGGGGCGGCAATGTCCCGCCAAGGGGTCGGGGCGCAGGGGGCGCGCTGGCTGGTGGGTGGGGCGATGCCGAAAGGGTGTGCGGTATGGGCAGGGGGCGGTGCCGTGCCGAAATAGAAGGGTCGGGGCGGAGGGAGCGCGTTGGCTGGTGGTCGGGGTGATGCGGAGGTGGGGCGCGGGATGGGGGGGGCGGTGCCGTGCCGAAATAAAGTGGTCGGAGCACTAGACACCTTGTGCAAGAGAATAAAGCGGTCGGGGCGGAACGCTGACGGGTCGCACCAGTGCCGTGCCGAAGGAAAGCGGTCGGGGCGAAGCGGGCGCGCTGGCTGGTGGATGAAGAAATCGGGGCGGAGGGGGCGGGATAGGCGCGCTGGCTAGGGCACGGTGCCGTGCCGAAATAAAAGGGTCGAGGAGGAGGGGCTGGCTGCGCGGGGGGTGCGGGGGGGGGGTTAGTAGCGGTCGGGGCGTGGGCCCGCGACGGGGTCGAGGCGGAGGGGCTGGCTGCGCAGGGGTTGCGGCGCTGAGTCTTGGAATGCGGAAGCGGTGCCGTGCCGAAATAAGCGGTCGGGGCGGAGGGGGCCGTTGGCTGGTGGGACTGTTGCCGTGCAAAATAAAGCGGTCGGGGC